AGATTCATGTTATTACTCACATAAATGAGAACGGTGAATATGAATTCACATAATTAATCCAAGAAAATAGTGTATTAATCTATCTCATGTACAACTGGGATGGGCTTATCAAACGTGATTATTATGTTTAGGATGATCACAATTTTAATTAAATTTTTATTTTTTATATTAATTACAGATTATTTACTTTGTATCCCAGCTGTAGCTCTCTCCCTCATTCCCTCCCATTCCCACCCTCCCTCCCTCATCTCCTCCCTGCCCCTCCCTACATCCACTTATAGAGGGTTAGGGTTAGGGTCTCGCCAACCCAGGACCCGGGAAGATGGTACCACTGATCTGGGACTTGAAAGGCGGGTACAGCTAGCAGCCGCAGCTGAGGAGCTCAGAGCCTGAGCCCCGCCTCTGCTGTCTCAGTCCCCAGGCAGTGAGTTCTGTGCTGAAGGCCTCTGGCACTGTGAGCTGGCTCCACCAAGGAGGGAGGCCCAAAACAGGGAATTGCATAGAGTTCAAAAGTTCGCTTCTCTCTCTCCCCAGAAAAGTCCACGGTGACTTGAATCTAAAGGTCTCAACTCTTGTTCAGGAAGCCTCAATGTCGATTTTCTGGCTTTAGATGCCCCTCCACCAATTTCGGAGTTTCAGATGGTCTGCTTCTCAGATACTGTGAGCGCTGGTCACCACTATCTTGGACATTTTTGAGGGTACTATGTTAGTTTATGTTTTTCTTTCCAGACATTGATTCTTTTTTTATTTATGTAGTTGATAAGAGGAAGGTGAACATATTTTTGACAAAGAGTCTTCTGAGAAGACTGATTTCATAACATTTAGGAAACAACTATACCTGGCATTTTTATTTTTTTATTTTTGTCTATGTGTGCTAGAGAGCTGTGCTTTCTCATCCTGTTCATTTGAAAACAACCTACAATTAGGGAAGGAACAACATACTTGGAATTGAGGTTAACATAAGAGTGGGATTCTCCTACTGCATGGTATTGTAAACATCTGAAAATTTAAAGAGAGCTACTTGAGTGAATAAAACAAACAGCAACAACAACCCCTACCAGAAATGAAAGTAATGAAAGTTGATTTCAATGGGCAGAGTCTACTTTACAGTGGTTCACCACTGCTATACTCTAGAATTGTTATCAAGTGACCTGTAGCATAAGTTTAGGATTTAGGGATTACAGGCCAAGGCCTTTCTACATTTGTTCCTTGATATAGGAACAAAATGAATATACATTTCATTGCATTCTGTATTTTTATTCCTGCTAGCTTATGGAAATAATTGCTTTGATTTATAAAAATGGAAGTCAATAATTAAACTGTATTTATTTTTACTTCTTTACCACATATCTCATCCTCCTCAAATTGATACTAATTTTTTATAGCTGTTATTCCTCTGAGAGCTCCCACCCATCAGCTGATTTAATTAGATTCTGAGAGTCATAGCCAAGCATTATGTGGAGCTCAAGGAGTCCTGTGGAAGAGTAGGGGGTGGGATGATGGCAGGACCCAGAGCGGACAGGGACTCCACAAGAAGACCAACAGAATCAACTAACCTAAACCCATGGGGGCTTGTGGAGATGGAAGCACCAACCAAGGCACATGCATGGCCTGGACTTGGGCCACCTACACATGTGTAGCCTGTTGGCAGTTTAACCTTCCTGTTGGTTCTCTAGTGAGTTGAGTGGGTGCTGTTTATAGCATGGTCTCTGTTGTCTGCTTTCAATCAGTTCCCCTTTTGGAGATGCCTTCCATGACCTCAGTGAGTGAGGATGAGCTCAGTCATGATTCCATCTGATGTGCTGGGGTGGGTTGGGGGAGCCTCCCTTTCCCTGAGGAGAAAAGGGAGTGGGGGAAGAGGGTGAGAGGTAGATACCTGGAGGAGAAGAGGGATGGAGCTATGATTGGGATGTGAAGTGAATGTATAAATTAAAGACAAAATTTAAAAAAGGAAACAAAAAAGAAAGTTATTAGATATACCTTAAAAGGTAAGGTTTTCTTATTAGGAAAATCCTGAAGCTGTAATTTTGGTTCTACTATAACAATCCTAGGGCTTCCCAAGGAAAGCATAGATTTAAATGAAACTGACATGAGGTGTAGCAACTCTTCCATTCATGTGTTTTGGGCTTTCACAAAGTATATTCCTTGTATGTACGAGCATGTTTCCATTGATTTGTATTGTATTCCTCTACAAGAATGTATGCATGTTGAATTGTGTATGGCATCCCTTGGAGTTTGCAAATAAGGGACAGAGAAAGGAGTCTGACAAACCTTTCATTTTTCACATGAGTAGCTATTTTTGAAGTCATGATGCAAAACTGTGCTAGCATTTGAAGAATTGTCTTGTCTCTGTGTCAGGCACTTTTCTTGGTGATAATGCTTATTTGTTATTTGCTTTCAAATATGCATAATTCTGAGTGCTTCATTCTTAAGTACTGCAATGATTCAAGAAATATACATATTAAAAATGTTGGTATTTTTTTCATCCAGATACACAGAAAATAGTTTTTCTTTAGACAAATTTTAAATAGCTTAAATGAGGTCAAGCGTCATGTTCACCATTGTCTTCAAATCTGGACTGAACATGGATGAAGTCTTTACCATCTAACTTCTCCCACTGGCTTTTCTCTCATGTGCCATTTACTATCTTTTTAATTAAATACACACACAGAAATACAAGCCCACAAGACAGGTGTGTTATGTATAGACTCATTTCGGGAAAGCTCCTTATATATTAGCTTCTAACTTTTACAAAAATGAAATCTCAACCTATACTTCCAATTTTTCTGCTTTCACTCTCTCTGTTTTTGTATGATAAACACACCTATATTTAATACATATGCATTCATATGAATACCTTTTGCTTTTGTGTTCTAGTATTCCTACCTCCTTCAATACCTCAAGGATTTATTTTTGTAAATGTTAAGCTGATCATATTGTGAAGCATTGTGCAATATGATGAAAAGTTTCATTAAGTCATCCTTATACTAGAATGTAATAAACATCAGTTAAACTGGAAAGCTAGGGCTATAAACAAACCAGTTTAATGCATGTTTATTCAATGGTCAGGCAGATGTTGACCCTGCATCCATGCTTCGGTAAAGCTTTTTTTTTTCGTAGAAAGCTCCTCTGAGAACAAAATAAAATACTGAATGAACCTGAAATGGAAAGATTAAAAATATGTTACTCTAATAGTTGTGAATTCTATCTATTGATATCTTCAAGGGTAGAATTAAAGCAATCACAAAAACCTTAAATTTTTAGTACCATGGGATGGACTGTACATATTTTGGGGGTGATATTTTCACACATGTATACAGCATGTACTATTCAAACCAGTGTAATAAGCATTTTGATCTACTTCTCATTCCTTTGAGTCTTCAACTCCTCTGTCTCTTCTAGATCCTCTGAAATATTCAACAGGTATTTTCCATTGTAGTGCCACTGCTGTGCCTTAGAATACTAGAACTTGGGGACTGGAAAAATGGCCCCCAATGTTAGGAGCACTGGCTGCTCTTCCAGAGGTCCTGAGTTCAATTCCTAGCAGCCACATGGTGGCTTCCAATGATCTGTAATGAGATCTGGTGTCCTCTTCTGGTGTGCAGGCACACATGCAGACAGAACAATGTATACATAATAAATAAAAATAAGATCCAAAGAAAGAACACTAGAACTTGTGGTGCTTTTGTGCTTACTTTTATTATTCTTCAACTCTGCCTTTCCTAGTTTCCAATGGCTACTATTCTACTTTTGTAGCTTCTTTATATGAATAGCTTGTGGTACTTAATTTTTAGTTTTGGCTTATTTTGATCAGTGTAATACCCTTAAGTTTCATCTACGTTGTCTCAAAGGATAAAGTTTCATTTTTGTTTATGGTTATATAATTCCAGTAAGCATACATACTATGCTTTCTTTATTCACTCATCTGTTGATGGGCAACTGGGGTGATCTAGCTTAATGTTCATCCTAATATATATATATATATATATATATATATATATATATATATATATATATATATTTGATTTTGTAGGGATCGTTATGATTTCATTTTCTTTGAATATATGTTCAGAAATGAGAGGTAGGCTAGGTAGTTTTTTTTCTGTTTTTAATTTATTTCTGAAGACAATTTATTTTGTTCTTTCTAATAGCTGATGTAATTTGCAATCTTACTAACTATCTATATTTCATTAGGAAATAGGTGCTTAATAAAAGTGAAGATTAAAACAAATAAGAAGAAATAGCTTGTTTGTAGCTACTTAAATGATTCCCAACATATAAGAGGTGTGTGTGTGTGTGTGTGTGTGTTTGTGTGTGTAGGGCTAATAAAGCTGGTGAGTTCTCTGGAAGGAGGAGGTCACAGTGTATTCATTCTGACAGGAAATCTAGTCATAGAGACATCCCAATGAAGTGATTGCTTGGGGGAACTGATGGTCAAAAAGAGAATACACATTAATCTAAACGGAAGCACCATGTATCGCTGATGCATACATGAAAGTGGTTGATAGTGTTCACAAAAATTATGGGCAAGTTTCTTTGATAAAGTGAACATTGGATTCCCTACAATGCTTCCATTACTTCTTCTGCTAAATACAGTTTCAAACATAGGTAAATTTTAGCAGGAGGTGTTGAAAAATTTGCTTACTCTTTGCACCTTAGCACTCAAGATAAACTTAACTTAAAACTATTCTTTTTCATTATAACTTGCTTTTCTTTAGGATTTTTTGGTTTTCAGCAGTGGGAACAGCAAGGACCAGAAACAAAACAAAACAAAACAAAACAAAACAAAAACAAACAACAAACAAACACAGTAGTGTTTAGAGGGAGATATATAGCTTTTTTTTTTAAATCCTCTTTCACACTTGTCCCAAAACGCAACGAAGGACTATCCAAATGTCATTTCCCAAAAGGACCTGTGGGTATCAGAGAGACCAGAGCTAGAAATTGCAGTGATTATTGGAAAAGCTGATGAAATTGACATTTTCCTTTTTTTCTTACAGACCAGAATGAAGGATTTCACTGCAGGGAAGAATGCAGGATTCTTGGCCACTCTGATAGATGCTGGATGCCCCGGAATCCCATGCCTCCCCGCTCCAAGTCTCCCGAGCATGTGAGGAACATCATTGCTCTGTCCATTGAAGCTACGGCTGCTGATGTTGAGGCTTATGACGACTGTGGTCCCACCAAGCGGACTTTTGCAACCTTTGGCAAAGATGTCAGTAACCACCCAGCTGAGGAGCGGCCCATCCTGAAAGGCAAGAGGACTGTCGATGTGACCATCTGCAGCCCCAAAGTCAACAGCGCTATTCGGGAAGCAGGCAATGGCTGTGAAGCTATTAGCCCTGTCACCTCCCCACTCCATCTCAAGAGTCCTCTGCCCACCAAGCCTTCCATGTCTTACACCGTCGCCCTGGCTCCTCCAGCTCATGATTTGGAGCACCATGCCAACAACGGCGCTTCTCGTCCTTCTGAAGCTGAGCCCCGTGGAGCTGACAGCGAGAAAGTCATGCACGAGGTCAACCCTATTCTGAAGGAAGGTCGTGACAAGGAATCTCCTGGCATGAAGCGTCTGAAAGATATTGTTCTGTAAACCCGTCTGGGGAAGAAGAGAAAAGCAACCACATTGGCTAGTGAAGATGGAGCAGCTGCTCATTTTAATTGCTCACCAATGGTTGGTTCTTGAGTGGCTGCATTGCAGAGCTTTCCCTAAATGTATTGTGTATAAGTGACTATCATTCTGTGACAATCCCTCTTGTTTCAACAGGCAGCAGGGGTGTTCAGTTGGAGCAAATTAGCTTTGGCTTGAGTTGTTCATGGGGCCTTGATGTTGGGAAACAGAGGCAAATTCAGTTGTGAAAAAGTATTATGTATTAAGTGTTTGAATTTATATATTTTTATATGTCAAAATGATAATATAAATGACCATTGTTTGTGAAGAATTACATTTAAAAAAAAGAAAAAAGGAAAAAAAGCTCTGGACACCTTTAATAAGTTCACCACTGTTTTTGTAGTATAGACAAGTTATTGGTCATTTATTGTGTACTATTCATTGATTCAGTGATGTGAAATCGAGCCCCCAAAAGGTTGTTCCTGAAGCTAGAATACTTTCCAATGCCGCTACTTTGTTGTGGACACCCCTGCTTTAAGAACCCTTTTGCTAGCTGTGCTGTTGTTGTATTTGATATTGCAAATTGCTATGTGTGTGGTGATGGCAAAAGGCTTTTAAAGGTTAATGTTTTCTTTTCTAAAAAAATAATAAAAATACAGATAAAAACAAAATACAAACAATAGAGACAGCAAATGAATGAGCAACACCACACCTAGAGGTTGAGTACTTGGTGGATACTCAATTTTTTTAATTCATGTAGTGATTGCTCACCACCTTGCAGAGGATTTTCTCTGCCTATCAGTCTTCTGCCTGGGTCTGTGCTAGATCATTATAGAATGTCATTTTTGGGTATGCTGCTATCTAATTTGCAGTTGTCAGAAATAATGTGCTGAAAATTTTCTGAGATTTATTTTTTTTTTTCTAATTTTCAGGCCCTCAATAGGAAAGTTACTCCTGAAGTTATCAGTTTTCAGGCTGAGAATTTCCCTGTCTCTCAATCATCTAAAACTCATGCAACATGACTGAGTCTATTTTGAGATCTAAATTACCATCTCTTTAGACACATACTTCCTGATTCAGTGTTTTCCCAATCATGATTGAAATTAGATGGTAAAGTGCATCATGGGCTGTAATCTTGGGCTCCATATTGCTCTTTATCTTAGGCTTATAAATAATGATACAGTAAGCAGGATGAAGAGTACACATAGGAAAAGACAGGTAATAACATCACTAATCTGATTACTGTGCCTTCTACATGGAGACACTCAGACACTTGAGCTCGTCTTTTTATGACTAATACTTTTTGATTAAAATTGTGAACAAGAAATTATTAAAACAAAAATCTTTTAGATTTAGCTAACTCTTCTTTGCTGTAGGCTAGGAATATGCCTTTTAAAACTAATAACAAACTGAACATTATTTTGTTATTATTTTTTATATTGCACTAATGCCCTGATTTTATCATCTGTCTATTAATATTCACTAGCCAACATAGTATTCTTGCAGCTTAAGAGTTCATTATTTAAAATAAACTAAAGAGACATACCACCTTTGCTCTACCTTTGTCTTAAAATCATTGCTCTAAAAACAAAACAAAACAAGCTTTTAGTTCCCTCTTTTTTGTAATTCAAGAACACGCAGGAAGAATGGCTAGAAGTTAGAGCACTAGAATTCATAAAAGAATTTATTTTTTTAAGTTTAGTAGATACAGTCATCTCTTTGAAATGTTTTCATTATTTTGACCTAATTTCCTAGCTTTATACATTACTAAGAATACTTTCTTTTGTGGAAGTTGGGAGGGCTTTAAGGGAAGAGATGGGTAATGCACTGGGCATGGGGTTAGGTAGGGGAGAAGATTTCTGGAAAAAAAGGACATCTATAATGAAGCTACAAATCCATCCTTTATTTCCTATTTTGTGCTGACAACTACCTCATGCAAAATATTGGTATGGCTGCAAATTTCCCCATTATATTGACACAGTTAGAGATCAATTACTCTTACATCTTCTTGCCTCATTTAATTTTCTTTGATTTATTTTTTTATTCTAATTTATTTCATTTTAGTATAGTAGATTATGAATTAGTTATTTATTTTTTGTTCCAAGTGACTATTTAATTAACACATTGAACTTTTTACCAGTGCCCTTTAAGTTAAGATGATGGCCTATAGAATTTAGACTGCTCTTCACCATGATCCATCTGATATTATCCTGTTAGCTAGTGCCTCAAGGTCACTGTGTAGTCAGATTAGACAGTTTTCTACAGGTTTATTTCTTGCACTGCTCAGTGGGAACTAGGAAGTTTGAAAGATTGTCGAAAATGGAAATGGAATGCTGGAATGTAGTATGCCACTGCCAGCCAATTAAAAGCAGAGTAGCAGTGGCATTGATTTTTTTTAACTTTTTTTAATATAGAAAAGTAACTAAAATTTGTTCCCAGAATTTACTTCCAGCTTTAGATTCATCTTTTTACCCATCTAAAAACATTGTTCTCAGTGGGCATTCAGATTATTATTATTTTTTATTTTTTTATTTTTGTTTTCCAAACTCTTTACTGAGTAAGTTCAAAGATTTTTTTTGAAATATATTTCCACCTCCAGTTGTCTAGTGGAAGTGCAAGTGCATCTTAGGAGGGCTTTGTAGGGATGTTCTACAGGCATATTTTGGTTGCAAATAGGACTTTGGTGCAATGTTCTTAAATTTCCCATCAACTTGGAATTTTACCCCACCCATTTTTAACTTGTGCTAAAAAGCTACCATGGCCAGCAGGGCAAATATTATTTTTTCCTTTTTTTTTCTGTAAACATGTTACACATTTAAACATGTGGGCACAATTTTAGTTTCCAAGTCCTACAGAATTCTACTACACTTTTCTGATGTCCTTTGGTTATGAAATGTGACATGCTTAAAAATTTCCTGGCCAGGTAAACTTCTTTATTTAGCATAAGGAATCTAGTGTGCATTGTTTGATTGCTTTCTTCCAAATATAGGAACATACTATTCAATAAGAAATACGAAGAAGTGATCCATAATGCCTGTGGAAACTTTTCTTTTTCCTATGCATCCTAGTAAATGAACCTGTTCTGAAAGAAACTTAGTATTCATTGATCCTCTGAAGCCAGTAAAAAAAAAAAAAAAAGAGGGTCTATTTTGATACCGAATAGATAGTGGGCTATGGAATCCAGCAGTTCTTGCAGAACAGTGATTCAAAATACACAAAATACTTAGGAACTTGATAGAAAGGACAATTCTCTATCCCTGCCTAGAATAACTGCTTAAGAAATACTGAGGATCTGGCTTAGAAATCCATGAGTCAGAGGCCCACTCAAGTTTGAGGGCTTGTTAAAGCACAGGTGTGTAAAGCCTAATCCTTAGAGATTTTTATTCAGTTGTTTTGGGATAGGATCTCCTTTCGTATACATAGATATATGCCTAGGAGACACTGAGGAGACAATGTTGCAAGGAAACTTGCCCTATAGATCTAAGGTGGCCATTTATACTGATTTGTTGACATGGTGAGAAACTGATTACTAAGGAAAGATGTAATTCTAAACTCTGAAACTAGAAACTACTCAGAGTACCTTTCAGATCCTGTCATCAGCATATGGCTATTAAAGGGGAATTCAGATATCTTTTCCTTCTACTTATACCATATCACAAACACAAGTGGTCCACTTGAAGTAGCAAAGACAAGGGGCACTTTGGGGAGAGGCAGGGATGAAAGGGATAGCTTTTTTTGGGCATCCAAGGTGGATAAAGGATTATTAATGTACATAATCCACTTAATGGGGATCATTTTGATGTCAAATGTTCCCCCAAGGCACTCTCAACAAGTCTGGTCCACTTGGCTCTTTTCACAGGGTAATAACACCCTTCTGACTTTGAAAAACTGGCATAAATGAGCTGAAGAAGTCCATTGTACACAGTCCTAGTGTTTGCCTTCTTGGTAAAATTACATTTTAAGGATGTCATGTCATGAGTCAAATTGTATCTGCTAACACTAAAGTGTATTGAGATGTTGTTCTTTAGTTTAAGTGTGTATCAAAGTAATATTCAAAGGGGATGTATGGGGCGGGACTGGGACTGGGTGGCTTTATACTGATAAATATTGAAATATTCCAGAGCAAAACACATTGTCCTAATGAAGTTGTTGCAGCTCTCTTTGTTTTCTTGTGAAGCTGGAATTGACCTGTGGGTCACTTGTTGTGCAAAAATGAATTAATTTCAAATAGGAATCACATTGCTTTTGTAAAACAAAGAAAATCAGCCACCTTGTCTGAAGCATATATTGTAAGGCGCTCTTGGTAAAGAACAACTCAGAAACACCTGACCTTGATTGGAAAGCGTTGTAGGTCATTAGGGAAATCTGATGATGCTGACTGTTGCTCCAGCTGTGTTGGCAATTAAAGATGACCTTGTTACTAACTGGGTGTTGTTGTCAACCTTAGCAAAGAAATCAGCTTACACCTTTACAGCACCAGTTAAGTAAATGCTTATTGGCACTGGTTGGCATTCAGCTGAGGAAGACTAAGATATAGACTAATGACCAAGAGCCAGACTAGGTCTAGACTAATGACCAAGAGCCAGACTAGGTCTAGCTAGAAATTCAGCAACAAATACCTCCTTGTGGAATTTTAATGCTAAGGTATTAGTTGCAAAAGGCTTACGCCTTCGCTCCTCAAGTGAGGGGAATGAGCCTGATGACATTATTACTGTTTACCTGTCAAACCAGGGTGGCAATTTAGAAGGATGCAAGTACAGTATGTCTCATTAAGCAGTCTCTGTTGCTGATTATATGAAGATAAAATGGTTGTATATGCTGATATGTATGTTATGTACATTTTCACAGTGATTGAATCATTGTAAAAACAAAAACAACAAAAAAGAATCACCACTCTGTCTATTTTATGAAGATTATAAAGCAGCTTTATTAAATTATTACAGTTCTGTTTTAAATGGTGTTACCTGCCACATTGTTTCTCTTTATCTGGTGGTTCTGTTTCCTTCTTAAATGTGTTTTCTCTGCTTCAAAAATTTATTGCATTTTAGTATTAAAGGCTATTATGGAAAAATTACTGAGATTTTGGTGAAATGTGTCCTGGAGAGTATTTTTTCTCCTTGATTGATGGTGGAAGCATTTTAGAACTTGGAAATAACCAGCTCCTGGTAGTTACTGATGTTCAGGCAGAGACTTCCATTTGACTTTCCTATTCTAACCAACTTTCAACTTCCTAACAGAAGGGCTTCTTTCTGGATCCAGTAAATCCAATCATCTATATTGCAATCCCTTCTATTGCCAGGCCTATTAATATTGTTACAGAAGGAGGGAGACACACTACACATCTGGGATGATAAAGATTTTTCCATGTGCCACTTTAAACAAGCGCACTAAAATTACTCTTTAAAATAAATCATTTCAGGGGCAACTGCACAGTGGGACTTTTCTGTAGAATTAAATTTTTTAAAGGGCAAGCTATAGTTGAGACTGTCAGTAGGGAAAAAGAGAGTGTAAAACAAAGATGACCTTGCTGCCCCTTAATGCCTTCAGGTTTGAAAATGGAGCATCAGTAGAGGCTCTGATTTTGTATATAACAAGACTTCAGAGAAAGCCTCAACAATCTCTTTTTGTTCAAACAATTATTCTGTGGAACTTAACACTTGGACCGCAAGCATTCATTCTGGCTGCAGTTGGAAAGTGTGGATAGAGGAAAAGGGTGGGAGAGCACATCAGACCATTACAAATAGTGTCTTTAGCGGTTAAAGGCTAAATTGCTTTAGCATGACCTATTCTTTCCAGACAATT